TTGAGGGGGGGGGTCGGGCTGTCCAAAGCAGCCCCCAAGCCGTGACCTACCCGAAAGGACCCATCGAAAAACAAATCGGTCCCCGGGCCGGGATTCCTTAATTGGGGGGGGGGGGGGGGGGGTTCATAAATATAAGGTTAACATTAGGCTTTAGTTAGGTCTGATAGGGTTTAGGCTTTTCTAGACTTGTTTATAAAGTATTTATGTAATCTTCTCAACATAAATTCATGACGGTTATTAAAGGCGCAACAGTGTTGGGGGTTTTGGGTTTGGGGGTTGCGGCTAGTTTCGGGCTAGCCTTCCCAAGTAGCCGTTAAGCTACCTCCATACCGCCACTAAGAGACACTTAGTCCCTTATTCCAGGTAGGGTTCAGGGGGGTTGGAACTTCTTGGGAATTTGGGGGGGGGGGGTTTAAGGGTTTAGGGTTTATGGTTTGGGGGCATAGGTCTACGGCTTTGTACAGTGTTGGGATTAGCGGGGTGTCTCGGTTTCCCGCTTTGGCCACCGGCTGACATGTCCCCCCTAACATCTTAGATTGTCTGGTCTTTTGACACAGAGCCCTTCAAGCAATACCTCCTCGACCCCCCAACGCCACTAAACCCTAAACCCTAAACCCTAAACCCTAAACCCGAAACCTCTGTTCAACTCGCAGTGGTGGTCCGAGCCTCGCTTAACAGTTCTAAAACGTAGACCCCAGTCCTTTGAGCCAAAACCCCACGCCCTGTAGCTGCAAAGCCTAAACTCTGCACCACCTTAGCAAGGGCCCAGAAGTGCCTGAATGCGGGCAGCTCAGGTTTCTTACATGGGTTCTTGGGTAGGTAGATAAGAGTCCGAGGAGCCCTAAACCCGAAGCCCTAAACTCTAAGCTCTTTAGGGTCAAGTGGGGCCAGGCCTTTATGTTATGTAAGGATGCTGTCGCGAACCCTGAACTCTTCAACCCTTACCCCCACTCCCACTCCGCGGCCACTTTAGGATTTTTTCAGAGTTTAGGGTTTGGCGACCCTCATTCCATTCTTTTTGGGGGGAACGCGGGTTTTAGGTGCCCTTACGCAAAAGGGCGACCCTTTTTGAAATCCTAGGTTTCTGGGCAACCTAGTTTCTGGGCCCAGGGCTTGCTTGTTTCCATGGCTTAGTCTCCGCAAGCCCTACAAGCCCCTAACCCCTAAACCCTAAACCCTAAACCCTAAACCCTAAACCCTTTTTCTGTCTTTCAGGCCCTGCGCCTCTTTAACGCCATGCCCCACGCCGGCTTGAGGCCGAATAGCATCAGCAGCTTGGTGATCTGGGAAAGGGTTGAGGGTTTAGGGCTTGGGGTTTAGGGGATCTGGGTCTGCCGATAGTTGGGGTCGTTCCTTTGGGGGATTATTGAGGGTCATCCCTTGTAATTTGTAAACCCCACTACCTGATGTGTGTACATGGTGTAGCAGACAGTATGCTTTGCAGGTTGGAAGGGGTGAAATTCGAGCTTCGTTTTTTCGAGGGTCGCGTTTCATGGCACATGGAGGGTTATCGAGGTTTGGCACCCTACCAGACCCCCCCCCCCCTCCCCCACCTCTCCCCTCCCCCGCCCCTGATGCAAAGTTGCTCCCAAATCCGAAGCCTATCAGGGTTCAGGGTTCTGTGTCTAAGGCCTAGACCCTGAACTCTGTAAGCCAGGAGCGTAATGCGATATTCACTGGGCAGTGGCCACGCCTACTTCTGGGAGGGGGGCTGCGCCAAAACTGAAGATACAGAACAACACATGCCAATCTTGCGGCACCCTAAACACTAAACCCTAAACCCTAAACCCTCAACCTTTATGAAGACTGTGGAAGCAACTTCAAAAGATTTCGGGAGCCCGAAGCCCTGGAAGACCTTCACCCCCTCCATCCGCCTCTCCTATGTGCACAGAAGTTGTTGTTAAGACTCGTCATGATACGGGAACAGGGTTTAGGGTTTAGGGTTTAGGGTTTAGGGTTTCGGGTTTAGGCAACCCCTTTTCTAGGACCCAGAGTAGGCCTTTCGGAGGTTTCGGTTTCCACCCTTTTATTCCTAGGTAACTCCTGGGTTTAGTAGTGAGGAACCCCCTTTGTCATTGCTCTATCATACCCTACTTGAAGGTTGATAATGATTATAGAAGTAGGGCTATAAGTACCCTGAATAAGGTTATAACCATCGTTACCCTACTTATAACCCTACTGATTAGTACCCGTGAACCTCCAAGTATGATACTATCGGAACCTTCACGCTCCTGGTCACAATCCCAAAGCCGTCAAACTACTCTTAGAGAAAGATGAAAGATCCTCACCCTCTTACCAACCTCTGAGGTTATAGCGCGGCCACGAGTGCATGCGAGAAGGGTGGGCAATGGCAGCTCGCCCTCTACTACTTCGACGTGATGCCCCAGGCCGAAGCCCCGAGATCTTCTTCTGTAGATAAATCCCTAAGCCCGACATCCCAACCAAAACCCCAAACTCCAAACCTCAAACCCCAAACCCTAAAGCCTAAGCAATCCCCAACAGCCTCTGAAACCGTAAACCAGGCTGGCCTCCACCGTAGCCTCTCCAGCTACGGCGCTGCCCTGAGTGCCTGTGAGCAGGAGCACTCGGGCGTGTTGACAAGGTTTAGGGTTTGGGGTTTTAGGCTCCCTAAACCCTAAGCCCTAAACCCCAAAACCCTAAACCTTTAGCACCATCAGGGCCTTTAGGGCCTTTAGGGCCTTGAGGGTCTGTATGGGTCTTCGAGGTTTGGGGGCTCAGGTCCGAGAAGCTTGTGACCAGGGTAGGGTGTTCCTGGACCACCCGAGCTTTCAACTCCCAGTTTCTGAACCCTAGATCCTAAACAGTAAACCCTAAGGCCTAAACCCTAAGCCCCAAGCCTAAACCCTGCCCCAATACAGGTACTGGGGGCCTTGATATTTTCTACTTCAGGGGGTTCCAGGTTGGATTTAGGGTTTTCGGAGGTTTGCGGGTTCCAAGGTCTTTGCTGAGAACTTAGAACCCCTAACCCCTAACCCCTAACCCCTAAACCCTAAACCCTAAACCCTAAACCCTAAACCCTAAACCCTAAACCCTAAACCCTAAACCCTAAACCCTACCAGGGTCTCAGGTCTGTATCAAAAGCCCTATCATCCCTAAGCACTCAACCCGAAGGCTTGTGTTTGCAACTCTAAATGCCCTGATAAATTATATAGGGGTACAAAGAATTACTAACAGTGTTCCCATATGGTTCCTATGTCATGATACTAGAACCCTATTCTATATGATTAAGCCCGCCAAAGTATAAAGAACCCCTCCAAAAGCAACATTGCATTCTCTTCCTTACAAGGGTAATATAGGGATTGTGATTGTTTTTTCTTTGGGGGCCATAAACCCAAAACCCTCAACCCTAAACCAAAAACCCAAAACCCAAAACCCTCAACCCTAAACCCTAAACAGGGCGCCGCTTGGGAGATGGCTTTGCGATTCATGGCTTCCTTGCCCGGGGATGGGCTGCGTCCCGTGACCCGGCTTGGCGTGCGGAGAGTGTGGATGTGGGGTTTAGGGAGTGTAGGGTTATGGTTTAGGGTTTAGGGTTTCGGACTTAGGTTTCAATGTTGCACTGGCTTTAATAGGTACCCCCCCCCCCCCCCCGGCTCCATCAAACAAATCTGGGCCCTCTATCAAGACATGCCCCCGGGATCCGGGACCCCTGCAAACAAATTGGCGCGGGGAGGGCGGAGAACCACCCTAAAGCCTCAGACCCCGCCCAAGGTTCTCAGAGCTTCATGCTTCTAGGACCTTAAGGCCCTGAAGCTTTCCTGTCTTGCTCTAAGGGCCGGCCCCCGCCGGACCTGTGTATTGTAGAGGGTGCCACAAGTTTATTAAAGTGAGTCGGGCCGGCCCGTGGACTACCTATCACGACACTTGTTTGGGGCCTGTCTTGTAGTAATGAAATTCAAGAAGGTTTTAGATGGAACCGGCCCGGCTTAGTTTCTTGGATTCTCCGGGCTTTGGCTCTTTAAGATTCCTGGAGCCCAAGGCCCTCAGGGCTTCAAGCCTTCAGGACCTTGAGGCCTGAGGCTTTCCTGAAAAACATCAGAGTGCTTAAGCCCTTAACCCTAAACACAAACGCTTGAGGAAAAAAACAAACGTCCGGATAAAATACTTGAGACTATTGCGGGTGACCCCACCGAACTGAGTTCGCATATTTCTTGAAACTTGTGATTCTAGACCCTAGCATCATTAATTCTCTGCAACAACCCTAAACCCTAAACCCTAAACCCTAAGCCCTACTTGAAGCTGTATGGTACCTATTTTTAAGGTGATACCCTACTTAAAGGTGAATTGTACTGATAAGCAGGCTCACAATCACCCGAAGCAAGGCTATGGCCATAGTTTACCTTGCGTACAACCCTACTTACACGTACCCGTGGACCTCCAAGGACGGCCCGAGCCGAGTATGGGCTTAGGGTTTTAGGTAGGGTTTAGGGTTTAGGGTTTAGGGTTTAGGGTTCAGGGTTTAGGGTTTAGGATTTAGGGTTTTGGGTTTTGGGTTTTGGGTTTAGGGTTCAGGCTTCAGGGTTCAGGGGTTGAGGCTGGTGGTGGCTCTCTGGGGCTTGAAGTGGGCTTCGTCATTTGAGAGGTGGGAGCGTCTGTAGGGTGCTATAGAAACCCTAATGCACCCCCACACATCGAGCAGACTCAGAGAAACACTGGCAAGAGTAGTAGCATCAGACCGTGTGTGTGTGTGTGCAAAAAGAACATCTCAGTGATAGGGAAGCTGCTCGAGCAAGCTTGCTAAGAGCAGCACTCATCAGTACTCAGATGAAGAGCAGTGCGAGCAGCAACGGTAAGCGAAACGAATAAGCGTGAGGATGGCTGACCCTGTGGAGCCCAGACACAAAACGCCAAACAATCAGTCCCAAGCCCTAAACCCTAAACCCTAAATCCTTCTCTAGGATACCATCATCTTCGGTTGCACCCTTGGTTGCTTGGAGAAAGCCGGCCAGTGGACGTGGACCTTAGAGCTCTTGACCTCCATGGGGCAGATGCAGCTGTGCCATGGCCAGCAACGAAGGGGTTGTTTAGGGTTTAGGGTTAGAGGGTTTAGGGTTTAATTAGGCGTTGCAGGTCTCTAGTGTAGCCATTGCGTCGGGTTAGCCGCGTTGGCCGAGGACTCCCGACATCATTTCCTGCAACGCGGCTCTGGCAGCGTGCAGGATCTGTACGGGTTTGGGGTCTTTGGAGGTGTTTTGGGGTGTTTCGGGGTGCTCCGGAGGGCTTAGGGTTCAGGTTTAGGGTTTAGGGTTTAGGGTTTAGGGTTTAGGGTTTAGGGTTTAGGGTTTAGGGTTTAGGGTTTAGGGTTTAGGGTTTAGGGTTGAAAGGGTTTGGGGCAGCCGCGCCTGTGATAGGAGAGCTGGGCAGTGGCAGTCCATCCTAAAGCTCCTGGCAGACATGCCCTTGCTGCAGCGCCACATCTGATTTGGGGTTTAGGGTTTAGGGTTTAGGGTTTAGGGTTTAGTGCTTAGAGACATCTCATTTGAAGGTAGTTTCATGGTCCCTTAGAATGGTCCCTAGCCTCTTTGAAAGGGTTCTGATGTGTGGGCCCTTAGTATGTACAGGGTATGTAAGGGGTGCCCTTTTAACGGCCAATACTAAGGGACCATGAAACTACCCTTAGACTAGGGAAAAGGATTTCGGGTGGATTAGGGTCTGGGGTTGAGCATCAAAATGCATGAGACTCCTTAGAGCTCAATACCCAGAGTGGGCCCTAGTGTTTAGAGATTCCCCAGGCCGCTGAATTAAGGGAATTTAGGTCAGGGTTCAGGGAGTATAGGGTATACGGTATAGGGTAGCCCTAATTCCTAAACCTTAAACTTTGGCCCTAAACCCTAAACCTTAAATCCTAAACTGTCCTTTTGTTGGAGAAGGGTTCTTGTTCTTATCTGTGTCCTTGGATGCCCAGTAGCACCCCTACCTCCCTTGTGTTTAGGTTCCCTGTTTTTAGGTTTAGGATCCTGATTCGCAGAATCCAGCCTAAAAGCGTTCCCCTTTTGTCCTAGGTTAGTACCCTCAACCCTAAATCCTAAACCCTAAACACTCAATCTATGGGGAGTCGAGTGTGGTGAGTCGGAGTCCGGGAAGCTGGCGAAACAGGCCCTAAACCCTAAACCCTAAGCCGAAAAAAAAAAAAAAAAAAAAAAAAAAAAAAAAAAAAAAAAAAAAAAAAAAAAAAAAAAAAAACAGCCCTAAACCCTAAACCCTAAGCCGAAAACCCGACCAAAACAGCCCTAAACCCTAGAAACCCTAGAAACCCTCAAAGGATTGCCCCCGACCTTCTGAGCCTGCACTCGGTACTCGACTGCGTGGAGGGCACGGGCCACAGCCATCAAGAGGTCTTCCGCGTCATGGGCTGCAGACTGAAGGACCGGCTGGGTGTAGGGTTTAGGGTTTATAGGGTTTATAGGGTTTATAGGGTTTATAGGGTTTATAGGGTTTATAGGGTTTATAGGGTTTATAGGGTTTATAGGGTTTATAGGGTTTATAGGGTTTATAGGGTTTATAGGGTTTCGGGTTTAGGGTTTAGGTTTTCCCAGTGACTTCCATACCTATGAATTAATGAGTATTCCTTGCAGTATGAGGGGAAACTGCACCGTGGCCGGGGTAAGATTCGCTTTAGAGTGCAGGTTTGAGGTTTAGGGTGTCTTATGCAACCATCTTCCCAAAACGCGCGCTCCCTTTTCAGGACCCCTAGACAAGCTTTTGGAGTTGCATGGCATCATTGCTTCAGGCTTACAAGGGGTTTTCGGGTTCGGGGTAACCCGAAGCCCTCAGCCCTGAATCACCCGACTGGTTCGCAGCATCTTAGGCCCAGGGGCTGACATACATACCTTGTATTCCCTTTGCAACCCAAGGGCCCATACTTCAGAACCCTTTCAAGGAGCTAAGGGACCACATTGAGGGGCCGTGTAACTACCCTTAGGGTTTAGGGTTTAGGGTTTAGGGTTTATAGGGTTTCGGGTTTAGGGTTTAGGGTTTCGGGGATATCCATTCCCATCACGCCAGGACCTCGGAAAAGGGAAGACTTCAGGCCACACCTTCCAAGGAATGCTCTACGCCAAAGCGCTGACGACGGTTCAGTGGCGCCTTGCTACAAGAGGTTCAACCCCCCGGCCCGACCTGTGCGATTCAACGCGTTGAGTCCTCTAGGCCTTAACGCCAAACCCCTTAACGACCCCAATGGACCCCCCAACAACCTAAAGTTTCATAAAGCCCTGGAACCTGCCCCCATAGACCCAGAACTCTATGCTGCCACTGCGCAGGTGGATGTCGGAAAATCTCCCTCCCAAGACGTGCCGAACTGCGCTGGCTTTGCTGAAGCAGCGCGGCCTGGGAGCAGAGTATCAGGAGGGAAATCAGATCAGTCTGCAGATAGAATTGAGAGGCCAACGCTTCTCCAGCTTCATCCACGCTACGCCCTGAACCCTGAACCCTAAACTAACCCTAAACCCTAAACCCTGAACCTACACCCTAAACCCTAAACCATAAAACCCTGGTCATGGTGGAGTGATTGTTGGCACCCAGGGTTTCGAGGGTGCGTGGAGGGTCGTCGTTCTGAAAGCTCATATGGAGCTCTTGCACGCGCGCTTGATGGCAACTCGCCCGGCAAAAGTGGATTTAGGGTTTAGGGTTCAGGGTTTAGGGCTTCGGGTGTAGGGTTTAGGGTTTAGGCTTCTTTTGAGCTGCAGTTGTTCTGAGGGACTCCAGTGCAGCAACAGGGTTTAGTGTTCAGGGTTTAGGGTTTGGGCCCACGGAAAAGATCTGCAAGTTCCGTCAAAGACTACCCGGAAACACCTTGAAGCACTGCCGATTGGGCAACGAATCTTCAGACCGTTTCGCGTGCACCTGAATGTCGATATTCATCCCTGGACCTTGCACCCCTAAACCCTGAACCCTAAACCCTAAACCCTAGCCCTAAAGCCTAGACCCTAGACCCTCTCTAAACCCCAGGCAAGTTGCCACCATCCCTGAAATACAAACCTCCAACTCCAGAAGCCCAAACCCACGCGACCGTTTCTTTAGGGCTCGGCATGATTACTAATCCTCTTACTAAGTCCAGGACCCAGAGTAGGCCTTTACTCCCTTCTTCTGGGTTTTGGTTCCCGGATGCGCTTCTTTAAACCAGAAAGCGTGCTCTGAAACCTGCGGAGCCCTTGGGTCTTGAGGGATTCTGGGCACAGCTTTCGGCTTTTCACGCTTTCGGAGTCCTAGGGTTCTAGGGCCGTTTAAGGGCTTAGGGTTCAGGGTTTCTACACCTGAATTTTATCTTTTGGGCTTGAGGCCTCGTGCGTGCTTTGTGGACTACTATAGTTTTATACTTTTGTTGGTTCTGGGTTCCTATCATGGCGACTTATACCTAAAAGGTATAGACCTTTGTTTCCAGGGCTTACTCTCCAAAGTAGGGACCCACGCGTTGCAGGCTGCGCCGGCAAGGCGCGGGCGCGCTCGGACCTGCATGCCCGAGCGTTCTGGGTTTTAGTTAGTTCGCTTTCGGGGTTTAGGGTTTAGGGTTTAGGGTTTACGGTTTTAGTTTGCCGTTCTTGAAGGTTCATGGTTCATGGGTACTTGAGTTCGACTTTCTTGAAGGTTCATGGGTACTTTAGCTCCATTGTCTTGAAAGTTCATGGGTACTTAAGAGCAGGGTCATAAGTACATCCACCTCCCCACCCCCCCTCCCCCCAAAAAAAGGGTTATAACCACAGTTACCCTGCGTAGAACCCTACTCCTGAACACCCATGAACTTCCAAGTAGGACTTCGCCCATACGAGTTTAGGTACTGGTCAGGTTTTAGGCAGTTCACCCTATTTAGGACCGCTAGTATAAGGGGGAACGTCCCACCCCCTTTTGGCCAAAAGCAAAGACACCCCATTCTGTTCTAAGGAGACTGGTGAAGCCCACAACCCCAAACCCAGAACCCCCCCCCCCACCCCACCCCACCCCACCCCACCCCTACTTGGAGGTTCAGGGCACTTATAACCCAACTATAATAGTGTAGCTATAACTCACTTCTAAGCCCCTTAAGTACCCTAATAGGGTTATAACTGGGCTATAAGTGCAATTATAATTGGGTTACTAAGTACCATGAACCTCCAAGTAGCAACCTGGGCACTAGTTCAGCAGGGAGCTGGGCAAGTAGGCTAAACCCGAAACGCTAACCCTAAACCCTAAACACACCAACCCAACCTAGCCTAAACCTTGAGATGTTCCCCCTTCTATGAACAGTCCTTAATAGGGAGTACAATAGGGAGGCATGTTAATACCTGTTGAGGACTGTTAGTTTAAGGGGAACATCTAAAAGGTTGAACATCAAAACCTAAACCCCTAAACCTGAAACCCTATAAAACGCCCCACACCCTGACACACGAAAGTGCTGATCCCTGACAAGCGCCGTCATCTTGGAACCTACAGTTTAGTAGCAACTACCCTTGCTTAGTAAGTAATTAGAACCCACAAATCTGTAGGTAAAGAGCATCCCAGGTCAAGCCTGCTAAAACCCAAACCCTAAACCCTAAAAACCCTCCTCCCCTCGTAAACCCTGATCCCCGAAGCCCTATTATACCCCACTAAACCTTCCTTCGTGCGATTCATCTATGAGTTCAGGCTCTTCTTTGGCTTGCCCTAAACCCTAAACCAAACCCTAAACCCCAAACCCTTAAGCCTTAACCCTTAACCCTAAACCCTACAACCCTAAACCCGAAACCCTAAACCCTACACCCAAAACGGGGGATCCTATGAAAGCGATGCTGCGACCCGGCAGGGGAAGCCCTATCCGGAGCTGGCAATTCTAGGGATGCTCTTGGGATGTGATGCTAAAGAGGCGGGAGGGGAGGGGGTTTGGGGGTTAGGGTTTAGGGTTTTATTTGCTTTAGGGTTCAGGGTTTAGGGGTTAGTTTTTGTTATTTGTTCAAGGGTTTAGGGTTGCTTGTTGACTTCGGGGGTCTACAGTTTAGCTTTTCGGGGTTTAGGGTTTAGGGTTTAGGGTTTAGGGTTTAGGGTTTAGGGTTTAGGGTTTAGGGTTTAGGGTTTAGGGTTTAGGGTTTAGCCTTTAGGGTCACAAGCTGGAGTCGAGGGAATCTTGGCTGGTATTGGCTTGAAGGATGTGGGGGTAGTGCTTCGGATGCGAAGCAAGAGGAGCACGACAAGCACAGCCAGCAACGCTAACCCTAAACTACCCTAAGCCCTTAGGCTTGTGTTGGGGTTTAGGGTTTAGGGTTTAGGGTTTAGGGTTTAGGGTTTAGGGTTTAGGGTTTAGGGTTTAGGGTTTAGGGTTTAGGGTTTAGGGTTTAGGGTTTAGGGTTTAGGGTTTAGGGTTTAGGGTTTAGGGTTTGGGCTGATGAAAACTGCGAGGGTTTGGGCCGCAACTAAGCCCCCCAAAACCTAAGCAACAAAGTCCAACAGCCGAAGCCCCAGTCTGTTGCAGGCTTCTCAAGTCACCCTAAAGCCTATAAACCTAACTCCTAAACCCGACCTGTCACTCCCAAACCCTGCAAAATCATAGGTTACACAAACCCTGCCTAAGTATAGGGTTTAGGGTTTAGGGTTCAGGGTTTAGGGTTCAGGGTTTCCCTGACCATAGTAGAGCCCTCCCCGGGTCAACCCTTCAAACCGTCAACTCTCGCGAGCCAACGTAGCATCAAGTCTTTTAGGTCTCTGGTCTTGGGTTTCAGGGTTCAGGGTTTAGGGTTTAGGGTTTAGGGTTTAGGGTTTAGGGTTTCACGACTTAGGTTCTAGGGTGGCTTCTAGGATGTTCAACGGACATTGGGTGTCCGGCCTTTAAGCCTTGAATAGGCCTTCGGGGTTTCTAGTCCGGGTGCCCTTCAGCCCCACATAGGGTTTAGGGTTTAGGGTTTAGGGTTTAGGGTTTAGGGTTTAGGGTTTAGGGTTCAGGGTGTTTAGACGGCCAGGCAGCAATTTTGTCACAGGCGTCGAAGGCTGCGTGGGTGCGGGGCCAAGTTCAACAGCAGGTTTCCGCACGGATGGTTCACGGGGCTTCGGGTTTCACAGAGGGTTAGTGTTAGGGTTTAGGATTTAGGGTTTTGGGGTTTAGGGTTTGGGGCTTCGGTTTTCACAGAGGGTTAGTGTTTTGTAAGGTGTGGGAGTCACAGGTACGCCCGAAGGTACGGCCATGAGTATTTCGTCTGATCTGCCACCAGGCCGGCCAACACAAGTTGACCCAAAATCCTAAACCCGAGGCCCTAAACCCTGAACCCTCAACTCTAAACCCTAAGCTCCTCTCCGGCTTATGCCTATGATTCCCACCTCCCCTTGCTGCTTTGGGGTCTCTACAAGGTCCAAGCGCCTTCATGACATGAAACTCTGAACCCACTAGACCCTAAACCCAAAACCCGAGACCCTTACAAAGAACTTTTGGGTGTTGTGTCTAGTCAGGGCCACTATTTGCTTAAGACCCCCCCCCCTGTTTTCCTTATCAGGGTAATATGGGGGTTCGCTGTTTCAGTTTTGTTGGGTTTCTGAAGCAAATAGTGGCCCTGAACCCCATTACTAAACCCTAAACCCTAAAGCCTAAACCGTGAGCCCTAAACCCAACAAACCCTAGCAACTAGTAGCCCAGATCCCAAACCTTTTAAAGAACCGCCACACAGGCCAAGTCTTCGCAAAACGCGATCAGGGCCCTGGCCCAAACCTTAGCCGGTAACATGGGGTTTAGGGTTTTCGGTTTAGGGTTTAGGGTCTAGGGTGAATAATTAGAACAGGGTTTGGGGGGGGGTTATTGTAGTCTAATTATTAAGGGACCATAAGGGAGTGCTGCTAGTAAGTATTCCGACCCCTATAGTATGTGTATAGAGGTTTGGGTTGACAGGAGGGTTTAGGGTTTAGGGTTTCGGGTTTAGGGTTTAGGTTTAGGGTTTAGGGTTTAGGGTTTAGGGTTGGGGGTTTAGGGATTGAGTCCTCAGGGCAATATGCTTAGGGAGCTTGGGGTGCCGGGTTTGAGTCTTCCAGCGCATGGGAGGCCTGCAGGGTTCTTGGGGATAAGGGTAGAATTTCATCCTAAACTTTTTTAGGGTTTAGGGTTTAGGGTTTAGGGTTTAGGGTTTAGGGTTTAGGGTTTGTGGACGATGAATGCTTTCTCAACCGCTCAAGCTCTTGAAGCCCTCTTAACCCTAGACCCGTTTGAAGCCTCCAGACACTTAACACCCCCTTAAATCCTCAAGCCCTGACACTAATCTCAGCCCTCACTTTGCCGGGCCTTTTTTAAGCTTCTTAAAGCCCCAAACCCTACAACCCTAAATCCTGAGCCCAAACCCAGAATTCCTAACGCTCGCTTTAAGCCCCATCCCGATAACCCTACTTGACGGCTCACGGGTACTTATATCCAGGGTGATAAGATTCCTAAACAAGGTCAGAATCATAGCCACCCGACTTCTAACCCCACTTGTAAGCACTAAGCACCCCTCCCCCCA